ATATATATATATATATATATATAGAACTCTCACAGCTGACTTGCCCCCATAACTAAAATTAATCAATTTTCACCTATAAACTATTAAGTTTAATCATAAAAAATAATAAATACCAAATTGTAAAAGAAGTATAAAAAGAATTTATAATTTTAATGATACGGAAAAATATAATAAAAAATAAATTCATTTAAATATATTAATGTTTTTTAAAGATATTTTTATTTTTTACTCAACTTAATCTTTCTGTTAGGGATTGATGTACTGTTTATAGTAATTGTCACAGATGGATTTCCGATTCTATTTAGGTTGGTTTTGAAGAATTTAGAAGCAAAGAAATGAGAAAATTTGAGTGTTTGAAGATTTATTTTATTTTCGCGAGATTTGAGGGTGATTCTATTTCTATTCCAGTTAAAAAGTATTATTTTTAATTCATACACTTATATTTAAGACTTTTAATTTTTTTTTAATTTGAATTAAGTTCAACCCATTCGTATTATATTTTAAAAATATATTATTTGAACAAAAAAATTTCAATATCTTAAAAAAATAAATATTGTATTAATTATATATTATTTTCTTTATTCTATTTTTTAAAATAATTTTTACTAAAAAATATATTATTCAAAAATATTATTTTATATTATTATCACCATTAAAGGTAATTTAGTAATTTTTATTTTCTATTCACTAAAACATATTTTAATCTTTCCAATGCTTGTGTCGCTTGCTCCGCTCGGTTGTCACCTACTCCGCTTAGTTGTTGCCTGCTCTGCTCGGTTGTCACCTGCTTCGCTCGTTTGTCGCTTGCTCCGCTCAGTTGTCGCCTGCTCCGCTCGGTTATATTCTTGACCATGGGGGAGGTACCTGAAAAAGACACTTTGACACTCAAGTTAGGAGCGGTTTAGTGAACTATTTATCACAGTTGAGTATTTTAGTTCTGATCGAGCATACCTGGCTTTTTTCCTTGACCCTATATTTATAAGTTATCTCATGGATCCTAAATTAGCACAGATCCAATAAAATAAAAACAAACTTACCTTGAGATTAAGTTAGTTACTCATAAACGGCTTTGAGTAGATGAACAGAGCGGCCTTGATTGGATGGACCAAACGACCCATACTGTATACCATACATATGCCCCCTAAGTCCGAGTTAACCGTTCAGCTTTAGCCAAGGTTAAGTATAGGACTTATATGTGCTTAGGAGAGGTTTTTCCTGTTGTATTGGGGAGGTACTTTAAGTCGTTGCTTTTTAGAACTTTTTCTTGTAAGGCCGAATAGTCGGATACCTTCGAGGTCGAGTGGTTGAATTCCTGTGAGGGTGGTCGGCCGAATGCTTGAACACTTGAAGCCATGGGAGGCCGAGTAGTATAGGCCGAATGGCTGAATACCTGTGCTTTGTTGATGAGACTTTGCTAGTCGAATTAAGACAAGAGTGAGAGTTCACGGAGAACGTTACTCACCGCTCGGTTTAGTATCAGGGGTTCTCGGAGAGCGTTCCCTGGGTTTTGTGGACGAGAGTGAGAGTTCACACAGAGCGTTCCTCACCGCTCAGTTTAGGACGAGAGTGAAATTTCATGGAGAACGTTCCTCACCACTCGGTTTAGGACCAGGAGTTCTCGGAGAGCATTCCCTGGGTTTTGTTTGTACCGCCACGCGACCTGTGATTGAATGTGAATTGTCTGGCTTTATTCATACCAAAAGTGTAAGCACGTAAGTCTTGTCAAAAGAATTTATTCGAAACAAAACATCACATCAAAATTCAACTAAAGTAAACGTGAGATGAGTCACATTCCAAGTGTTAGGAAGGACTTGTTATTATATTTTCTAGTTGATATGTCCCCGAGCCGAGCGATCAGGGCTGCGATTGTGACTGCTGCTTCGCGTATGTCTCCGTGGAGATCTTCTTCTTGATGGGCTTCTTATCTGCGGTCGTTCCTCCATCACGTATCTACGGAGATGACCCGCACGAATAAGTTCTTTGATCTTATCTTTGAGTGTTACATACTCTTTGGTAGTATGTCCCAGGTTTTGATGGTATTGGCAGTGCTTTCCTCCATCAACATTTTTAGGTGAATGAAGCTTTCTGACCGAAAGAAGTTCAACACTAAGGGCTTCCTCAAGGATTTTTGCCCTGGGTGCATTAACAGCTGTGTAATGTTCAAATTTAGGCGCTCGGGGGAAGTCCTTTAGTCGAGGATCTCCTCCCTTGTCGTTGCCGTCGAACGATCGTCTGTCGTCCTTTCTAATTCCGCTTGCAGAAGCTTTTTGTTGTCGTTTTTCCCTTGAGCTCCTCATGTCCTCAATACGAATAAACTCAGCCAACCTTTCTTGGAGCTCGTCCATAGTTTTAGGAGGCCATGCGTATAAATTTTTAGCAAAGGATCCTGACCTCAGGCAGGAAGGCAAATTGCTAATGGTGAAGGTGTGATTTATATCTTTTATTCGACGTACGGTCTCATTATATCTTTTTATAAAGGCCCTTAAGGTTTCCTCCTTCTCTTGCTTAGTATTTACTAGTTCTGCCGATGTCAACTCTTGTCTCTGATTGCCTGTGTATTGTCTCCTAAAGAGGGTTTCTACAATGGCAAAACAATCCACTATATTGGGAGGAAGAGTGTTGTACCATTCCAATGCCTCTTCCTTGAGCGATAATGAGAAGGCTCTACACATGACCGGGTCACTGTTTGTATAGAATGTCATTGCGTTACCGAACGTCCTTAGGTGATCATCCAGATCAGTTGAACCATCATATTTATCAATTGCAGGAGGAGTTTTTTCCGGTATAGGAGTCTGCATGATGGCCATTGTGAACGAAAGTAAATTGGTAGGCTGAACGGTTTGCAAGGGCGTTGGTTCCCTTCTTCCACGACCGTTCGGGTTGGTGTGATTATGACTTGCTTCATTATCATTCTCGTGGTTGTGATTTCGGTTGGCTGTCGACATCGAATGCTGGGCGGATTGCTCATGACGACCTCGTTGGGCCCTCAGTGCTGCAATCTCCTCTGCATGCTTTCGCTGCATCTCCAACAACTGTGCTTGCATCTACGCTTGCATACGTGCCTGCATCTCTCTTATCAGCTCTCTGGTGCTTTGTTGCTCCGACATATTTCTCATGGTCGCCATTGGGCTTCTTCTGCTTGCTCTCGGCCCACGGTAGGCGCCAAAATATTTCGGTAGGAATTGTGTAGGACCGAGAGACGTACCTTTATGACGTGACTTTCCTGCTTTCCAATGCCTGTGTCGCTTGCTCGACTCGGTTGTCACTTGCTCCGCTCGGTTGTCACCTGCTCCGCTCGGTTGTCACCTGCTCCGCTCGGTTGTCACCTGCTCCGCTCGGTTGTCACCTGCTCCGCTCGGTTGTCACCTGCTCCGCTCGGTTGTCACCTGCTCCGCTCGGTTGTCACCTGCTCCGCTCGGTTGTCACCTGCTCCGCTCGGTTGTCACCTGCTCCGCTCGGTTGTCACCTGCTCCGCTCGGTTGTCACCTGCTCCGCTCGGTTGTCACCTACTCCACTTAGTTGTCACCCGCTCCGCTCGGTTATATTCTTGACCAGGGGGAGGTACCTGCAAAAGACACTCCAATGTTCAAGTTAGGAGCGGTTTAGTGAACTATTTATCACAATTTAGTATTTTAGTTCTGATTGAACATACTTGGCTTTTTGCCTTGACCCTATATTTATAAGTCATCTCATGGATCCTAAATTAGTACATATCCAATAAAATAAAAACAAACTTACTTTGAGATTCGGTTAGTTACTCATAAACGACTTACCAATATCCTTATTCAGATATCTTTGATAATTTATCATTTGCTGAACTATTGATCCAATAATAACTTAAACGCTGATCCAATTATGACCCAACATTTGCTGTAACGGATGGACCGAACGGTCCTGAGTGGATGGATCGAACTGCCTTGATTGGATGGACCAAACGACCCATATTGTATACCATACAACTCCAAATTAATTTCATTCCATCCAATAACACCATGATTATTTTTATAAAATGATTATAATTATTTTGAGAATAAAAAAGTATATTCTCTTTATAAGTGCATGCGTTGTATTTATCAGTTACACAGGGATAGATTTAATATAGTAAGAAAACAAGATTACGTATTAAACAGTAATTAGTACGTGTGACTATGCATAGTTACAAATAATTGTAGTTACTTTAAAAAAAATAGAATCTTCAATTAATTATATATCCTATGACATTTAAAACAGTGAGGCCCATGTGAATTTGAAAGTCCTAAATAAAATGTTTATAAATTGATATACATAATTTGACATTTTCTATGATTATTAATAATTTAATTCTTAAAAAATAAGAAATTATCCTATAATAAATAATAAGAAAGCGCGTGAAAATACGGAAAGGTGTTTAGCACTGTTACTGGCGCGGGTCACGGTCACGCGTTTTTGGTGGCTTCTATTGATGTGACTCGGTCCGAATACAAACACGTTTTTGCACATCACACGTCTTTCACATTTGGGTTCCACGTGTCGCATTGTGATACAACTGGGTCCACTTTGTAGCAAAAGGACATAAATGAACGTGAAGATCACGTGAAGAAGTTGAAGTTGGAGTGAGAAACACGTGAAGGGCAATTGCATCTAATCTAATTTTTAAATCCTTTTTGGCATTTTATGGCTGCAAATTCTTCTTCCTTGTCAAACCACCTTGGTGAGGATTCACCACTTTTTTTAATAATCGCGTCTCAATGGGTAACTTCCTTTTTAGAATTCAATAAATATGTTATTGGGTGAAAAAAAATTATTTATGTTCTGATTGGATGGAGAACTAAAATGTGAGAGTAAAAAATATGTAATGAAAACAATTTTTTTTAGTTATTTAAATATAATAAATCTTAAAAAACCTTATATTATAATTCGATAAATTGATATTAAGGAAAAATTTAAATGCAGGGTTTAGATATGAAAATAATAATATTATAACTTAGATTTAAGTGAGTTTTTTTAAACAATTATAAAGTGGGTCACTGAATTTGGAAAGAAGATCATTGATTGATACTGAAATTGAGATGACATAAAGGAAGGGAGTGATTAAAATTTGAATTAAAATAAGCTAATTATATTCCAATATAATATAATTAATACAGTAAATAAAGTTAAGTGGTGCAGTTGGGATATGGTGTAGTTTTCATAAGGCAATATTTGAGATTGTAGATATTATCAAGTGTAATTGTTTATATTTAAGTTGTTTTTATATGTTAGAAAGTTGTTATTATATGTTTAAAATAACTAGAAGTTTAAGAGATTTTTGGAGAAGTGGAGAAGAGAGTTCAAGTGAAATTTATAGAACTGAATTGAAATTTGAATATCAGGGTAAGGCAGCTAATTTGTTTAATTTTACTATGATTGATTGTTTTCGAAGTTTGATTGAAATTTAGTATTATTAGAAATATAGTGACTGTTTGCATTGTATTTTATAACAAGAGTTTAGATTGAAATGGAAATGGGATGATTATTTAGGTAATGTCTTCTCACAATAAAATTCAAAATTATAGAATTTTCGCATTATAATACTAAATACATAATATTTAATTTGATTACTAATATTTTTATGAAAATTTATTTGAATAAAGATGAAGTGAGAAATTATGAAAAGATGACATATCTTTTATGGTTAAAAACTGTGGAAACAGATTTGATTAGATTTGTTGAAATCAATGGAATAGGTGTAAATTATATACTTATGGTGAATAGATAGAAAGTTTGGATTATTATTATGCTATCAAGATAGCAAATATTATATAAAAGATTATATTTAAGTATTGAAGATACGTTGGTAGTATGATTTAGAATTGTTAATTTGACTTATGATTTATATGACTTATGATTTATAGCTTAGTTTTAATGTATTTTTGAAAATATTACAAGTTCAGGAGAGATAAAAAAAAAGAAAAAGCCTTAATCTTCATAGTTTATTTTCATATGGGTTAGAGTGGAGATTAAGATGTATTTGACGTTATTATAAGACTTTAATTAATTCTTAAAAATAATAAAATGATATAATTTATATATATATATATATATAAAATAATATATTTTATTATAAAATAAACTTTAATATTTTGTAATTTTATTATATTTAAATCAATATTTTTATATCGTACTTGTTATTAAATAAAATATGTAATATATAGTTTAATATAATAATTGACTATAATTTATTTATTAATTTTATCGAGAGAAGAAAACTTATAACAATTAATAATATAGTATGTAGTATACTGTGATAAAATTTCGACAAAAGAAATATGGAGTCTAGTCAAAATATGAAAATATTATATTAATTCTAGAAAAATTTACACTAAAATTATTTTATAATTATTAAATATTATATATATATATATATTAGTTATTAAAGAGAAATAAATAATTGATAGAATTTAAGTATAAACTTAAGTCATACACTACAAAAAAGAAAAAAATAAAAAATATATAATAAATTAATTCATAAACTTATTATTTACAAGTTCATTATTTTAAACTTTCAAATTCAAATGTCTTGTTAAGTTTTGATTCAAATCTATATAAATTTTTCGTACAACAAAGTTAAATGATTTTCTTATATATTTTAAAAATCTATTTAGCCAATCAAAGAAAATTAAATATTTTTAGCCACTCAAAGAAAATGAAATATGTTTAGCCACTCAAGGAAAATTAAATATGTTTAGTCCGTTAATGATTTCAACCTCCCATGTTGCTACATAATGTTTCTATATAAACAAGCAACCAAGTTTATTGAAATCTCTTACAAAGTCTATGTTAGTCTAATTAAAATGTTTATATATAGTTCTTTGACAAATTAAAAGTATTTAGATTTGCAATAAATTAGGAGTTAATTGTCTTTTTCTTGTATTAAAAATGAACATTTTTTCTAAAAAGACTTTCCATGTGTTAGGCCTAGCCTACATGGCTTTTTGTGAATATTTTGATCTTATGAGCTTTTTCAATGGGTGATATTTTGGTCCTATGACCCCAATCTATATGGGTCAGGGCCAAACTATTGGAGAGGAACTAAATTAACAACTTTAAGGCTGTTTCACCCTGCACATCTAATGATTTCATCCTACACCTCCAATTTTCAAAAATAACCTTACAATTTTTTTTCATCGGATTTCGAAATTCAATAAAGAAAATAAAAAATTCGTCATCAGATTTCGAAATTCAATGAAGAAAAAATCCTTCATCGGATTTTGATATCCGATGAAGCACAAAAAAATAAGGTGTAGGGGGTTTTTGAATTGCAAGGACAATTTTGAAATTTTAAAAAAATTTGGAAGTGTAGGAAGAAATGATTGGAGGTGTAGTGTGAAACAAGCCAAGTTTAAGTATGACATTTTTAGATTAATATCAATTAAAGGCATAAGAAATAGGTGGTTTAGAGTTCTCTGAATTCAAGTTCGTTTGAAATAGTATATTAAGTTTTGTCACAGAAAGGATTTATTGAAATTGACAACGGTATATTATAAAATGGGTTGTGAGAAATAATTTATATATATATTATTTTAGTTAAAATAAATTAAGGAAAATTAAATAAACAAATAGTTTATAAAATTTGAAAGTTTATTCATTGTTATCATAAAGGTTGCTTTATTGGATATTTTAAAAAAGTGTGATTATAGAATGAAACTCTTGTATGTTATATAATACCGTTAAAGCGGGTTCAATTTGTAAACTAACCCGGCCTATCTCGGGTTCAGGTTGGGTTAAAAAGATTTAAAATTTCAATGTGGGTTAATTATGAGTCCAACTCACTAAGAATCCGGCTTATCCGGGTTGAACCCATTGTGAGCTGGTTTGACTCATCAACCATCCTAATTATTATTTTGTGTTTCAATATTATTAGTTAACACTTATTTTTATTATATTGTAGATGGAGATAAATAAAAAGATGTTACAAGAGAGCAAAATATTATGGATTTATCCATTCAAGACTCTAATATTATAGATGGATAAGTGACACAAAAATTATCAATGTTAGATACTTATTTGTTTTGCTTTTTGTGCT